GGTGCTGGTGTGGTGTGGTGTGAGGCGGACACAGCTCAGCCGAGGCTGCGGTAAAGCACTCCCTGTCCTGATCCAGGGAGACAACATGAGTCAGTCCCAGACTGAGCTGACTTGATCAAGTCTCTCTCTGCCTCTGGTGAGGAGGGGGGTGAAAATCCTCCACCTCAGACCGTTTAGAGATGTAACTATCTGCGTCGCTGTGGTCACTCTCCATGTAGCATCAATTATGCTAATGCTAGCTGTCACGTTCTCTTGTCCTGGCCACACCTCCGCTCTCTAACCCCCACTCCCCTACCCACTTTGATGCATTTTTCAAATTTCGCCTTGGGGCGGAGTTTTCTTTTCACAGGGGAGGTAAGATACACTTTAAAGTGCTGTCTGCCATGAAGTATTTTAATATAAGTTGCCACTACAACACACTGCACAAAGCTAAATATGAGAAGCAACTTTTTACCTAAACCACAACCATGCAGAAGTCTCCACTCAAGCCAAATTATGTTAATGCGTTTCAGCTCGCTAAAAAAAAAAATCTAAATTTATATAGGTAAATGTGTGTCAGGATGTCAGGTCAGGTAATATAAATTCTTTGAGTTTTATGTCCTTTTTGTGCAACAGACCCCTTTTTATTGAAAGCAAATATCTCCCAAGGTAGACTAATAAAGGTTTGACTGATATATCTGTTTAATGTTCAAAAAGGTTTCTGCATCTCTCACCATGTGGTACACTGATCTCTGCTGATCACTTGTCCTGGCTGCAGTGTGTCACCAGCCCAGTCACACACACATTGGCTAGAGTTAACACACTGGCCCTCCTGAAGGTACAGCCCAACAGGACAGCGACAACCTGTGGAAATGCATCGTTTATCTCCAGATTTGCTTTGGCTACTTAAAAATCTTCAGATAAAAAGAAAATGTTAAAATTAAACCATTAATTTGTTTATTTTACATGCATTTTAAAGAAACGGTGTGTATTCTGTATAAAAGCGTTTGCAACAACTTGACACATTTTGAGCCTTACCCTGTATACATGTTGCAGTGCAGTTGTTGGTCATGCTGAGGTCTGAGCAGGTAGAAGGACAAGGATCAACTCTACCAGTCAGACAGTCTTCTTTTGTCACCAGCACCATGCCACCAACACAACCTGTTCATCAGTTAATTAGTAATCATTTTTGAAAAAGGTTTATTTTACTGTAATTAATTTACAGAATCAGTTTGAGAGAAACTGCAGAATCAGATTGGATCAGTTTAAACACACTCAATCGGATTAACCTGTTTGTGTTCCAGTGTCAGTGGTGCAGGGCTGGCTGTTGCAGCTCTGTCTCTGCTGGGTCATGCCCTCACAGTCTCGTCCACCATTTTTAGGAGGCGGTGCGGAACAAGTCCGGTTCCTCTGCCTTACTCCACCTCCGCACAAAGCATCGCACTCTGTCCACTCCGTCCACTTTGACCACTGACCGTGAACTGGAAGAAGGGTCGGGAACACACGTGGGTCAGATTAGCTGTAGTTTAGGTAGAAGCACAGACGTTTGGAACACAGACCTGGACACGCTTGAGGAAAACAGGCTCGACTGTCAAACTGAGCTCCTCCACAGGAACCTCCAGGCAGAGCTTCCCTCAATATATCCCTCTGCCGAAACAGGGAGCCAAGACCACATGTCACACTGCAGGCGCTCCAGGCGGTCCACGGGGACATTATGCAGTCCACTGGACAGGAAAGAACAAGTTTAAAGAAAATAAATACCTAAATCTTTGAAAAAAATTTAGCAGCTTTTCACTTACTCAAGGCAGTTGCAGTAATGGTGAGAAGAACAAAGATTTATGATCAGAATAAAACTTTTAACTCCCACTTTAATAAATTACCAGGACCGCTGTCCTATCACTAAAATAAGAAACTTCTTGTCCCAAAATGATGCTGAAAAAAGGGTTCATGCATTTTTAGTTTTAAGCTGATCTACTTTAATTCTTTATTATCTGGGTTCCCAAAAGCTCTTTAAACAGTTTTCAGGGACCAGTTGTTCAAAAGATGCAATGTGGATCAAAATTATCCAGATTTTGAAATCTCCTTTGTTGCTATTCATGATTACCTAATCAGTCTTACTTTTATCCCATTTGTTCAAAGAAACGTTGGATTAAATCCATCTTACACAGGTCTAACTTTTCAAGATGACCAAATCTGGAAAATGTAAGCTCTAAATTAGATTGCATATCACAATGAATGTTGTTACGTATGAAGGAACAAGTAAAATAGCCAACATGGGGTAACTTTAATACGGTGCATGTCTGGTGACACAGGATAAAAAGCAAAAATTATCTCCTAGCTACACCATAATAACTCATGGCCACGTGATTAATATGGCGTGGCCATGAGATAAGTATGGCAGTCATTTCCATTCAGGGACTGTTGATTGTTAACATGGACAAGTTTGAAATAATTTCATTTTATTATAATATAGGAATGAAAGACATACATCAGTCACTGTTAGGCATGAAGTAATTATTAACATTTTATGTTGCAGCTATAAGACAAAGGTGATGACTGGAGTTGTGTTTGTCCAAAAACCTTTTTGTTTTTTTGAAGCTCAGCACTCAAAACAGTTTTTTTCACTCTGTGTGTTTACAGCTGTGAAAGGGGTCAGAGTTCTGTTGTGTTCAGGATCACAGAAAAAAATTCTGTTTCCCGACACACACCAAGGATGTTTATTGTCATTTCATAAAGCCTACAACTGCATTGGGATAAAATTACTGTAATTGGATTTTAATTAGAATCTACAGTATTTCAGACTGAATTGGATCAATGATTTGGACTTGTTTATTATTTTCATTGTGTTGTGAAATACTTTTGTTGTGAACTGGCATTCTAATTAAAAAAAAGGGTAAATTAAACTGAATTTCATCACTCAAACTTCCAGAGTTCCACCTACCACAGTCTTTTTCATCCGATCCATCTAAGCAGTCCCTGTGCAGGTCACACTTGCGATCCTTGTGAACACACTCTCCACTTTTACAGAAAAACTGTTTTGCAGAGCAGGGTCTGGGTATCGGTGGTGGCTGCAGAGTTATCGTTGGACTGGTTGTGGTGCCTGATGGAGCATGATAATCAAGTGATGAAACTTTATTTAGTGTGCATCGACAAATCTCTAGCCAACGACAAAAAACTAACAGCAGCAAGATTTCACTTAAAACTTTCAGTCTACATCACGTCTCAAACTGCTGGTGACTTAATTTTGGCCCACCAATGACCCCCCTTGATTATATTTTTTATTTACTTTAATGTAAAAATATATTTTAAATAGATTGTAAACTTCAAATTTAGGATTCAAGATGCAAAGTTTATACAGAGAAACCAAAGACAAGATTCAAGCCTGCATCTTTCATGTTAACAATGAACCACCATGCAGCTTTTTACTTTTAAACTTCCAACCAATCTGAGGAATAAATAAACGCTAATTTGTTATCACACCAACCAGCACTTGTGGCCGTGACCTTCTGAAACCTAGTTGGTACCGTGACACCTGTTGTTGCCACACCAGGAAACCCACTTTGCAAACTCATAGTATGTATGCCGGGGCCACCTGTTCCATTTTCAACATGGAAACCAGGTCTCCCAGTGTAGCTGGTCTGATTGTGAAGTCCTGGAAAGCCTCTGGTTGGAAACGTACCTGAAGAGGACAAAGAAAAGAAAAAAAGGCACGGAAGAGTGATCCATTGTTTGCTGGAACATAGAAAGTGTGCCTCTGCAGTAAGACTTACCACAGCTGGCCTCATCAGAATGGTCTTTGCAGTTTGGTTGACCATCACAAAGTAAAGACGCAGGGATGCACTCCTTTGTGTTTTGGCATGAAAACTGGCCTGGCTTACAGCGCTGCGCAACTCCGGTGGGAGATGTCACGCTGCTCTGGGTTACTAGCTCATCTCCACATGTTAAAGAAAAATAGAATGTAGTGTAAAAGAAGATTTTACAGCCAAATACCACAAAAGAGAACCTATACAGATTTTGGACCAACAGTAGGTCAGACTTGTTTCCAGGACATCATTCAAGTGTTGAATTACAGTAAGGTTTAATTTCCTCACTGGTTCTGTTCTTATCTTATTTTTCAGAATGTCAAGACGCAGTTAAGGAATAGAGGACCTTTAGTTTGGAGGGTTTTGGATTGCATCACTGCTTTTTGCAAAGGATATGGCCTCATCAATTAAGTGGACTCCAAGTCTGAAGCAGTGGTCCAGAACTGGAACAAAACGCACTGCCAGAAATGGGTTTGGGAATGAGCTACTGCTACAAGATGGTGAGGATGCAGGAAACTGATCAACGGATTGAGATGGTGTTTGCAATGGTGTGGATGGTATTCTACTCTAGCACAGTGAAGGGGGAATCGAGGTGAAAGGCATGAGCAATGAGTAATGACTAACATAATACGACTCAGAACACAATACGATGATTAATTTGAGATTTTGAAAGGAGCGTAGGGTAGCATCGCCACACCCATCATGCCTTCCAAAGGACATGCTTCAAATCCCACTGGGAGAAACAATTTAGAGTCCCTCTGTAAAAGCTGGAGTAGGTAGCTAGGGAGAGGCGAATCTGTGGATCTCTGCTCAAGCTGCTGTCACAGTGACCCAGTCTCAGATTAGTGGCAGAAGATGAACAGATGGATGAGCCTTTACTAAAGATGAACTATTTTGCCTAACATTTTAAAGGTTGTGGTCATCGTAGGCTGCATTTCCTCACCTCCTCTGCAGCCAAGAACCTCCACACGCAGGTTAAAGGTGTGCCTGAACTCCACAGGGATGATACGTATGTAGCGAGCTCTAACAAGCCGACCCAGCCAGCGGGTCACGGGGGTCCTGCCCATCATCCGAACTTCAAACACCTGCAAACGATCAAAAAGTCCCCAATGACATACGCAACATTTCTTTTTTACTTAACATTTTTATTTTCCTCTGAGGTGCAACCTTTGTTTCATTCACATTGCAAAAAGGTACAGTTCTGTGTAAAAATGCAAACACCTTAACAAGGCCACCAGGCTTTCCCTTTTCTGTAAAATCTGTAAAGATGCCATCTTGGAGGGCAAATGCCAGGTGATATTTAGTCAGATAACCCCACATGCGGTCACTCCCTTGTGTCACCACACCCGATATCCATTTGGGCTCCTGGAAATCCACCTGAAAATATGGATGGTGATCTGCAGGCAATGGGCTCCAACCAGGTTCCATATCCCGTCTGCAGAAATCAGAGAAGATACCATGTATATTCTCAGTAACCTGCACTGTAATGTCACCAAATGAGAAAATATTTCACAAACTACACTTTACAAACATGTTTATATTGAATAGAAATGTGGGAATTATTCTGGATACAAAGAAGAGAAATGGAACAAGAAAACAAAACGGTGTTTGAGGAATCTGTCTGCTACAGAAGCTCAAATCGAATCCCTCACATATTCGGAAAAATATTTAGTCTTCCGGCATCTGCAGGGTTGTTCTCTCGTTGTGAGGATGAAGACAGTTGACCGTAACGAATTCTCCCATCCTCCAGTCCGAGAGGAGAGGCACAAATGCCTGAAAAATTCAAGGGTTACCAAATCATTTAGTGCAAACGTCTAAACACTTATATTTATACATACTGAATAGTAACTCATTACATGTCAAATCTACTTTGAAAAGTCAGGAAAATTTGAAAAATATGAAATGAAAGCCTACCATAGTAGCCAGGGCCACCATGCTGTAAAGAGATTACATCAAATCAAAACACAATTGCAATAATTATAATAATAATATAGAATATTTTATCCAAAGGACCCATTGATAAGGTATTTATTTGTAATATTAAATTTAAAAAAATCTAACATTTTCCATGTAATTCATTTCAGCAGACTACACCTCCCTAAACTGTACTACTTAACCCTCGTTTTAATGAGTAGCATCATATATGCTGTATCACCTTCAGCTTTAGGATCTTGTTGTGGCTATTCTATAAAAACAGTTTAATCAGAAAGACAACAAAGGGTACAAATAACTTTTTGACTAAAATGTATTTAAATTGTTACAACATGGTAATTAAATGCTGTAAAACCTAAAACAAATATCTTATTTTAAGAATTTCTTTAATATCCATTTTACTAATAAGTTTTAATGGTGTATAATCCAATCTTAAAATATTCTTTTTTTGTTTGTTTTGTTTTTTTACATTTACAGTATTTATTATATGTAGAAGAGCCGCTGTAATATTAGTTCAGAATAGATGTTTAATAAAACGAGTCCTTACTGTTGGTGTCACTACAGAGTGAGTAACAGCGGCCATAGATGGGGTCCTCAGAGGAGCTGGGGTGGGTGTGTATGACCTATAAATTATAAAATAGTCATGTTAAAACGCAACATTACTTATTTTGATTTTTCACTCAAAGTTTCACCTGTCTGAGTGTGTGGTGATGTCATGGAGGTGACATCCATTTTCATCCTCTCCTCTGGGACAGTCCTGGATACCGTCACAATGCTTGCTTATGTCAATGCAGTCCCCTGGTGGAAGGCAGGAGAACTGTCCAGCTGGGCATCTGCGTAAACTACTGGTTGTAACATAAGGCTGGGTACCTGCATGTCAGGAGTTTGTAAAAAAATACATTTTTTACTTAAAAATATTTAAAGTATAGTATTACATAACATATATATATATAATATTCAAACAGAAAAAAGTAAACAAAAAATGCTCAGCCCCAAAAGCTTAAAAGCTAAACATGAAAATCACCTGACACCATTTGTGCCAGAGTTTACACTAAAATCGTCTTATGTTAAGAAATAATGACATTTTAGTCATTTTGGTCAAAAGTCAAAAACAATACAGTATTATGCACAATCTCATGCAATATTTCAATATTTCATACTCATTTCACATCAGAATGACTATCCATTACTATCACATCAAATTTTAACTCGATATCTGTAAAAAAAGATTGAGTTAAAGACAATTTGTGCTAACAAATGTTAATTAGCTGTGTCAATCATCTTGGTTACGGCTTTAAAAATAGTTGAGTAGGTTCTCTGAGCTCTTCTTTGAGTTAATCTGTTGTAAGTATATTTCTAATCATTATTTTATGAAGGTTTCTTGTGAATTTACTCAATGGTTCAAAAGATATTTTGCAGACAAACAGGGCAATGGTAAAGATTCCAAGAAAGATTGTGCACAATAACTATATGTATTGAAGATTAGGCTCTACTACCACCTCATCAACACTTAAACTGTCTGTTTTTAAACTATTTATACCGTCTGTAAAATGTTTTTTATTAAGGTCAGTTGGTTGTGGCAGCCATCTTGAATCATACAGACTTTAAAAGTTCTTTTATTGTAGCTGTAAGGGATAACATCATTATAATATCCCAATTTTCCAATGACTCACAAGATATTTTGGTAACAGCCAAACTCACACAGACATAGACAAAAGCAAAAATGTTCACCTTTGTCTTTTAGGGTCGGACAATAACAGTAGAGAGGATGTCAAACATCACCACAATCAGACTGAATATCTCACCACAGGACATCTCATCTGATCCATCTCCACAGTCATCACTCCCATCACAGACGACCCCCAGTGGACCTGCCGGCACACAGCGACCATTTCCACAGTGGAACTCGTTCTCTTTGCACCCCGCTCCTGGAGAAACAGGTGAAGAAGGGGTGGGAGAAGTTAGCCAGTGATAACTTGGAGAGGAGATAACAAAGCATTCCGGACTCTTTATTTGCTCAACAAGCTATCTGTTAAACAGTTTACCAACCATCACCACAGCCCATGATCTCAAGTCGAAGGTAGATGCCATTCTGGAAGTCGTGGGGCAACAGGCGAACAAACTGAGCTGACACTATCCTGTCCAGTCTGCTCTCTGTCACACCTTCATCATCATGGTTACCAAGGAAAACCTGCAGTGAGTTAAACAACGAATCACTTTGAAGATCTAGGAATGAATGGGAAAGTTGCTTTGAGTGGTTTGCTGTTGGACCTTGGCTCTGGGTCGAGCACCAGGAACAAACTCTTTGTAGGTGTACCACTGACCCCCATCCTGACTGAACTGGAGGTAGAAGCTGGTCACAAATGTGCTAAACACACCGCCGCCCTGCGTCAACACACCTGGACACCATGACAATACAGAGACAGAGCGTTTGTGACACATTTCCTTGATGGGCTATGTATAATCCTATTAAATAAATACATTTTAGGCCTTGTCCACAAGGGTATGACAGAGTATTAGGGCCAGACTAAGAGATCTTTTTTCAAATTACAAAATAAAGTAAAAATTTTTACCCGGATTAGGTTGTACAAGAAAAACGTTGGAAAACAATATGAGAATTAAACCACAATATAAAGAGAAAAATTGAATGGAAATAAAGTCTTAATATTACCAGAATAAAGTCTTGATTTTACAAGAATAAAGTCTTGATATTACAATAATAAAGTCTTGATATTACAAGAATAAAGTCATAAATTTATGAAAACTCTTACCAAAAAAAGCATTCTTATGTTGAGCATCTTGTGAAGTTATACTTTGGTATCAGTTTTATAAATAAACAAATACCTAATCTTTCAACACATCAGCATCAAATTATTGGTAAATGGTAAATGGACCGAACTTATACAGCAGTTTATGAAAGTACTTTACACTTCAGTCCTTCACCCATTCACACACCACTGGTGGTACATTGTAGCCACAGCTGCCCTGGTGCTCACTGACAGCGGCGGGGCTGCCATGCACCAGCGCCACCGGACCCTCTGACCACCATCAGTAGGCAAGGCAGGTGACGTGTCTTATCAAAGGACACAACGACTGACACGGTTGGTACGGGGAATCGAACTGGCAACCTACCGGTTACAGGATGACTTCCATAACTACTCCGCCAGAGCAGCAGGAATATAAATTGATTGTTAGAGATGGGACTATCACAAATGATCTGAATCTTTTGAACAACTCTTTACAAGGAATGATAGGATCAGAGTCACAGGCAGTATTGAGCCATTTGTAGTTTTATTTTTTAATTCTTTGTATAATCTTCATTTTTTCATCCTTAACTCGCTCCAGCTTTGCTTTATCATGGAAAACAGGCAGAGCAGTGGAGTAGAGAAGCTCACGGGGAAAGGGGGAGTGAGTTTCCTTTTGACAAAACACATAGTTCCACCCACACAATGTGATGATGTTATCACATATGGTGGCGTGATGATGTATTTCCCTACGTGATGAAGTAACTCATTCAAAACCAAATGGCTCTTTTGAACAGCTCTATGAAACAAACGGCTCCTCAAGATCTGGATCCCTTCAAAGAGAAAATTATTCCATCCCTATTGATTGTGCAAATAACTCTTTAACTTTACTCTGGTATTATTAGGACTTTTATTTTGGAAGTTAAAAAATGCACTTAGTCTGGCCCTAATAACTAATATAATAACATAGCATCATTTGAAGGCTTTCAAGGTTTTGCTGTAGTTGAGAAACTGCAGCACAAACACAGGTATGCAATGTAACACTATTTAAGTTACTGTCAATGTGTCTGACACCCCAGGAGGTCGTGGCTTACACTGTTTCTGTGTGGGCACGTCTGACCCAGTCAACAGTTTTACATTTTCACAAATAGCATTCCCATGTACGCTGCCTTAAGTGGTAGTCTTCATCACACTGAATCAGCATTTACATTTATTAGGATGAATCTTTACCAGTAATGTTGTATGCTTTGAGCAGGTCTATCTGTATATAGGGGCTTTGTGTGTTGCCGATGTGTCCCTCTGGTCTTCGCTGTGGTAGGTCTTTATACTCCTCTGGTTCTGGACTCCAGCCCTGCCAATGAATGTTTGGCAGATACTTCATAGCAACTGATCATTTAATTGGTTTGACCTAAACATGGTCAGTTAAGATAAACACAATTTATTTACAAAAACATAACCCACAAAGCAGACAGGTGTGGGCCAGGTCTGGCAATGATAGCACTGTTTTGAAGATGGCATGCCACAGTTGGTCCAGTTGTGGTTTGGTTTATGTGGTGCTGGCCCTTATATGGACTACCTCTGGCAGACCACATGTGGACCACCAAAGGACCATCATTCTTTGTGGTATCTGGACCAAGTGTTCAAATTTATTGTGTGGGCCAGAACTTGGCTTGATTGATTGATTGATTGATTGATTGATTGATTGATTGATTGATTGATTGATTGATTGATTGATTGATTGATTGATTAATTGATTGATTGATTGATTGATTGATTGATTGATTGATTAATTGATTGATTGATTGATTGATTGATTGATTGTTTGATTCATTCATTCATTCATTCATTCATTCATTCATTCATTGAATGACTGACTGACTGATTGATTTTCACAAAGTAAAAGACTGGCTGGCATGCCATTTGTGATCAGAAGTTTGGTGTAAAGGTTCTACAGTATTATTAGAACTGAAGTACCTGCAGGTCTCTGTGAGGATCCCACGCATGAAGACGAGCTGCTTCGGGTGGATGATCTTTTTGGTGAGATGAAGCCTTGAAACAAGAAGCAGGGAGAATCTGGACACCCAGAGGAGCCCAACATTCATCTAAACAGAAAAAAACTTCATTTAATCATCTAGAAATACAATTATCTGAAAGCTAACATGCTCTGTATTTATCTGTATTGTAGCACACAGAAGAAGACACTAACCTCCAGGAACAAGGGGGTAGGTAGGGACTGAGGCTGTAGGGCTTACTGTCAGCTTGGAAGTCACATTGCCAGGACTCACTGTCACAGCCACGGTGTCATTTTCTCCTGAACATGTTCAAGAAAAAATAACAGTGAAGTAACTTTATTATGACAAAATACTGCATATATGAATCAATTGGTCAAATTTATCTCTTTGTGTTGTTTTCTTGCCGCTATTTTTGGACAACAAAGTGAATAAATAACAGTTTAAAACACCAGCTTGGATGATTATTATTATTTAAAAATTTAACCCACTTTAATTGTACATTCTTTTTGTTCCTTTGTTTTACAAACTACAAGCTGTTGTTCTCTGAAGCTTTTAAAACTTTTTTTAATTACAGTTCAAAATGAATTTTCAAATTCAATTCAATTCAAAAATACTTTTACAGAATATAACACAAGTCAGTGCTTTGTAAGAAAAAGTTCTTTCTCTTCTTTGAGGTACAGAAAGTTTTTCAGTTTTCTCTAAAATTTATTGTTCTGGTTAAAGAGAAATTATTGTGGATAAA